TGGGCGGATAATGGACACCTTCCCTCCTCTTTGTGAGGCTCTCCATCCTCACTGCGGTCTGGTCCTTCCCTCTCCACTCTGCACTGCGTTGCTTCAGTCCCTTCTCTCTCTTCAGGATGGATTTATCAACCAGCAGACGTTGATGTGTTAACTCCATTCAGTTTCCCCAGGCCTCCACCAAGCAATGAGTGGCCTCAAGTGAGTCAGACAAGAAAGGGAGGGGATGACTGGGAAGCCTAGAAACCACTGACTTCCAAGAACGTAAGAACATAAATGTTTGTGTGGGACCAAGCTGTATGCAGCCTGGGAGTTGTGTACATGGCTGGCAGGTTAGGTTGGAAAGGGAGGACCCCTGCGTGTAAAGGATTTGGGGTGCACGCTAGTAATGTCAAATTCTATTACTGAGAATTCTCTTTTAGGGTGAAATTACATCTCTAAAAACTGGGCTCCTTTAAGTTGAGTAAGCTTAAAGAGAATTAAATTGTGATGAAGACATCAATTATCTAGATAAAACATAATAGATGCATAACTACACCTTGTTTCAGAGGCTCAGACATTACTGAAAGCCCTCCTATGGTGATTATAAAATCAATCTCTTACCTACTGTTAAGTTTGAAAAATAAACTTAGAATTCAAAAGTCAGACATTAGCCGGTGGTGGTGGCGCACGCCTTTAATCCCAGCACTCGGGAGGCAGAGGCAGGCGGATCTCTGTGAGTTCCAGGCCAGGCTGGACCGACAGCCTCCAAAACAATACAGAGAAACCCTGTCTCGTAAATACCAAAAAAAAAAAAGTCAGACATTAACAGTGAGTGTTGATGTCAGATCCTCAAAGTCCTATTCCGTCAGTTCTGTGATTAGTGGTGCGTTGTCTTCTGTGTACTTTGACATCTTAGGAAATTCTGAAGACTATTCTTTTTTTTTTTTTTTTTTTGGTTTTTATGAGACAGGGTTTCTCTGTATTGTTTCGGAGGCTATCGGTCCAGCCTGGCCTCGAACTCACAGAGATCCACCTGCCTCTGCCTCCCGAGTGCTGGGATTAAAGGCGTGCGCCACCACCGCCTGGCCTGAAGACTATTCTTTGACAGGAGAACGCTCTCACCACACCTGAAATTCAGCAGGAGTGACTGCCTGATGGGGGGGGGGGTGAGTAGACACCTAGATTCTCATGTCTCCAAGGAGCTAACAAGCCTCAGGTTCCATGAAGAGTCAAGAGTCGAGACAATATGGGACTCCACGCACTGGCTAGTCAACTCTGTCTTCATACTCTCTTCCCTCAAGGAATTGCTGCTCCTAGTTCTGGGAAAACACACACACACACACACACACACACACACACACACTTACTTCTCTCTCTCTCTCTCTCTCTCTCACACACACACACACACATTCTCTCTCTCTTTGATTTATGGAAGCTTTAAGGTTCAAAATAGAGTCATTTTTCTGATATGTCAAGCAGTTTTGATCAAATGATTAGAAAACATTAAGTTGCTTTTCCTACCGGTAAAAGGATATACACACTATAAACCCAAAATGTTTCTTTAGAAAAAATATTTTTGTAACCCCAACACTTGAGAAGTTGAGTCAGGAGGATTGCCATGAGTTTGAAGCCAGCATGGGCTTCATACTGAGCACTAGGCCAGCCTGGGTTACAGAGTAAGGCCCTGTCTCCAGAAAGAAAGAAAATTTTAAAGTGCAAATGCCGTAGATGGAGTTCCCCTGGGATGCTGAAGAAAGAATACCGATGTGCCTGAAGCCCTTTGGAAGGTAAAATGGGTTGTGGAGATGCAGGACAACAGAGCAGCCCTAGGTGGTATGGGAACCATTGCGATCTTTGAGTTGAGGGACTGATGTACTGTGGTTTTTTCTACACGCATATGCACCACAGAGTACATGTGGAGGGACAGAGGACAGCTTTCAGGAGTCATTTCTCTCCTTCTACCTTGTGTGTGTCCCAGGAGTCAAATTCAGGTCATCAGGCTCCGCACCAAGTGCCTGTACCCTGGGGCATCTCATGGGCCCCGGAGGTTGGGTTGTTACCAGCAGATTTTTATGAGGTGAGAGGACAGAAGCAGAGAAATTGCTAGGAAGGCTCCCCAGTCATCCAAGCGAGAGTTCTTGCGGCCTCAGACAACGTGAGAGTTCATGATGGTGAAGCTAGAGCAAGAACGAACGTGACTCGGGAGCTGTGGAGGGTGTTTGAAATGCTCCCCGAAGACAGCAGCCAGAGGCAATGTTTGAATCTGCAGCAGAACCTCGAGGATGAGACGGACAGGCGGGGACTTCGCGGGCGGTTCTCGAGCAGGAGGAGGGACCATGGGCTGCCAGGCCTGTAGCTCATGGAACTGATCAGCGACCGGGGCAACATGAATGAGAGCACGCGCTGAGAGATTCAGAAAGAGTGGAGGCCTGGCCTGGGGTGCAGGCACTGTAGAAAAGGGGCGGTCCCTGAGCCGCCTGACTAGCAGGAGGTGATTGATATGTGCTACGGTTTAGAGGGAGAAGGACTCAGGATTGTGGCTGTGACAGTGACAGTGGAATGAACAGCTCAAGTGCTCAGACAGATATTCGAGGTTCCGGGACGACCCTCAATAAGAGCTCTCCCCACTGAAGTCACCTTAGCCAGGACCATCGCTAAGTCCTTGATGAGCACAGCAAGGTGACCCACAGATGAGGGACACTGAGAACCGGAGACAGAGAGCCAAGTGGGACCAATGTGAGCCCAGGAGTGTTGTCTGCACGAAGCACAGGCGTGAGGGCAGAGGCGGGCAGTTCTCAAGCCCTTCCACACCTGCTGGGCAGCCAGAGGGAGTCGGCAAAGCCAATACGATCTTTGAGCTAGAACCCGGGACAGTTTTATTTCAGAGGATAAGAAGAAAGCGTCATCTTTATCATAGCCATATGAAAACTGTATGCTCACTTTCTGCCAGGATGGTTGGAGTAAGGGTTTTCAGAGAATCACAACAGACAGTTGTACCGGCTGGGTAGTTTTTAATATCATCAGATCTTAAATAGGAAGCCATGAACACAAACATTCAAAATCAAATACATAATAAATAATCATTAAGTTATAAAATACATCATTCATATTAAGACTAAATTCTCAGGTGTAACTGTAAATAAAACAGAGCAATAATGTAGATTAATAATGCTTTGAATTTATTCACGAGTACAAAGAAGACACTTTTCAGCTAAAATATTAATTGTCATAACTAATTGTCTCTGAACTCTCATGACCTACATGACTGTCTTTCCTCCCTTTCTTCCTTTTTTCCTTCTTGCTTTCCTTCCCTCTTTCCTTCCTTCTTTACTGAGCAACCGAATATCACATTTGGGATGAAATTTAGCTCAGATGTGTGGTCAGGTGTTCCTGTAAGAGTACCCAGGTCATTAAAACTCAGACATCCAAAAGTCAGAAAACAAAAAATACAGAATTGACTTAGGAAAGGCCAGCACCCCTGTTCCACAGATAAGGAAATGAAAACCAAAACAGCTTAAGCACGTGGCCACATTTCACAGCCAACAGGATGTTAGGTCTACCATGCTATCACCCGCAGGTGAACAATGGTGTCCACAGGTTTTCCTTATATCCCTCTCAAGGGTTGGCTGAGTCTTGAACACGGAGAAGTGAATGTATTACTGTGCAGGACTTACTTCGTCTAGTTCATTCAAGGACCACCTTCTCTTGGCTTGTGTAGCCCTTTACTGGAGTTTCCAAGCTATTCAAGCTCTTAGCCTGGGCACCACTGAATCATTTTTACTTCTAGAGTAGAAATGCTCAGTGATCTAAAAGGCTAGAACCAATTTTTAAACAACAAACACACCAAAATAAATATATTGTCTTAAATATAAAACCACAGTGTCGAGAAGTCAACAGTTATAAAGCCAGAAATAACAACAACAAAATACGACATGTAGACCCCATCTCTCTCCATCATTTCTTGGCATGTAGACCCCATCTCTCTCCATCATTTCTTTCTGAAGGATTGCATCTTTGCTTCAGCTTTCCACCCTCAAACTCAGCAACCAGTGCTAGCACCATTTGACACTTAGGTGGGCTCTATGTATATAATGTCATCAAGAGTTACACATTCACATAATGTCTTTACAAAAACATACTTTAAACTCCTAAGAAACTATGACTATGACATTTTGCTGGGAAATAATGAAATAATCAGCTGTGTATTAATTATGTCTGTGTTTGTTTCAACCACACTTTTAAATACAGACATTACTTCCTTGGAGCAAAACCCCCCACCCTCCACCCTGCTACATGTTCTTGGGCTCTCAGGTCCTTTTTGGCAATAAGAAATTCTCCAAGAGATCACACTATTCCAGGGAAAACAGCTTTCTAGACTTTCACCTCACATAGAATGGACTGTTGGAATTCACATCAAATGACAGAACCATTTGCTTATTTTTACCATCTATGGTTAAAAGATTGGAATGTTAAGTAAAAGTCTCTTTAAAACTGGGACAGAACCTCTGGCCTCTAGGTTTATCTCCTGATTTTGATTTTAAATAGATGGTTGATTTTAACTTTTTAAAAGTGTTCACACAATGTGCCTTAGATGCTCAACGTGTTTGAGATGTCTATGTCTTCTAAGTCTCATTTTACAAAGAGGAAAGAGCAGATGTGGGGAAGGAGACTAATGACTGGAGTGAGAAGACTGATCACAACACATTCACACCATTTGAGATGAGAGCTACAAAACCCTACAACTCCATTTGCTCCACAAGACTCTGCTGATGTTCACCCTACCATAGGTTTTAGTTGCCATCTTCACAAGTTTAAAATATTAGCTTATAAAAGGACTTGACATTGGGGGAAGGCAAGTTAAGCCTACTTCTTAATACACCATTACCGCTTTAGAGAGAGACAGTGAAAACCAGGAGTGAGGTCCATAAATAGGTTAAATTCTACTGTGTTTAAATATTTTTGAAAGAACTAATAAAGAAGAAAAATTGCCCATACCCATCTAGGAACACTCTCCCCTAGAGCATAAATAGAGTAGATAGCTGTATGCTGAATGTTCATTTGGAAGGAGCAAGCCCTTGAGACATGCTTTCTGTACCGAGTTTTCCTCAAAGAATAAAGACTTCAATTTCTGATTTCATCTCCTGCGTCTGTATTTTCAGCTTACATAATTCAGTTATGCTCACAAAGGGTCTTACTCTTGCAGACCAACAAATTCTCTAGCTCTATTTCTAGTTAAAATCTTTAGTTTTCCCCTTCCAACCAAAGCATGTCCCAGTTGGGCAATAAGACGAAGAGTCACAACTTGAGAAGTCACAGAAATCCATGACTCGGGAAACTGAGCTCTCTGAGGAGAGATTTTTTTCCGTGCTGGCAGCATGGAGTCTATCAGTGAACTGCAAGATCTGCGTAGTAATTTGGCAAAGGATCTTAGCCTGCAGCTTTTACGAGTCGTTCCTATCGTAATATATTGTACTTCTCCACTCACAATCCCAGGAAGCAAGGTGCACTCCTGTGTTCGTGAGTGTCTATAGTGTCCAGTGTCTCCTCGGGGCCCTTGAGAACCTTCAGGTCCTGTGTGTTCTATGAAAGGTGCTGATGAATCATCTGTGGAAACAATGGTCCATTAGCCACTGTGCATAAGGAGACAGCAATGAAGGCCAGAAATAAACACGTTTGAGGCGCATACCTTTTGAAGGAGCCATTTTAGTCTCTCAAGGAATTCCTGGGGTGTTTTTTTCTCATAAGAATCACAGGACGGGCATTTCTGGAAATCAAGCAAATAAGCAAATAAAAGGTTACATTCTCTAAAAGTTTTTCTATGCCATAAAATACTTATATAAAATGTATTTCTTCAATTGAAAACATAAGTCAGGTTCAGTAACAAACATTAGGAAAAATTTATAAAATTTCTCTAGAATTCATTTGTAATTTCACTCTCAGAGACAACTGTAATGTTTTTGTGTTTAAAATATAATATCCTTCTTGTTCCTTTTATTCTGTTTTACTTTGAATTATTGTTATACTTGTTAATACATGCTGTTATTTTATTTATTATTTTAGCTAATTACAAGTATTTCCTAGATATTAGATATGCTTTTAGTACAGGATATATGGCAGTCGCTTTGTTTTCCAAAACAGAATGGTGTTCTCGTAATTTTTGAATATGGATGCTGATACAGAAGCTTTCCCCTCTTATGTACAATTCTACAAAGAGTATCTCTGCAGATAATATTTCATATGTATCTCTGTTTGATCTGATAAATTCTTAGAAGTTTGCCAAGTAGAGCAAATGTTTATGAGTGCTGCTGGCTTTCCTCCTTCCTTCTCATCATTCTTCCCCCCACCCCTTTCTCCTTCAGTTTCATGCTTATTCCTGATATCAAAACACCAGGCCACGTCTGGATGCTCAGTCACATGTTATTGCAGTGAGAACATCCGGTGGAAACACAGTAGCTGTGTTCTTCTTGACACAGATGTGAAACCTGGAGAAAGTTGGCTTTTTAGATCTCACTTTCCTCGCCCATAAATGAAGGCATTTAACCCAGAGCGTTGGGCTCCAGGTCTACACCACACACCATCATTTCCTAAGTCCCTGCCCTGAGTTTCATAGCTGTGTTCACTTCCTCACTTTCTTTCCCCTTTCTCCCTCTTCTCGCCTTCTTTTCTCCTTCCTCCTGTTTTCCATTCTTCCTTCCTTCCTCTCTCCTTCCCTCCCTTCCTTTCTTTTCTTCCTTCTTTTCCTTCCTTCCTTCCCTCCCTCCTTTCTTCTCTTCTATCTTTTCTTTCCTCCATCCCTCCCTTCCTCCTTCCTTCCTTCCAACCTCTTGAACAGGGTCTCACTCTCATAGCCCAGGCTGTCCTGGAACTCATGCCTCAGTCTCCTGGGTGCTGGGCCCACAGACATGCACTACTATCTTCTTTGTGAAGAAAGTTTCAGAGGGACATTTTCTCATAATAACCTGGTAGAACAATCAAAAGAAACCAGGCTACTTTTCATAATATAATTACTATTTCACTGTTCTCAGTCCATGTGGAATTTCTTGAAGGACAGAAGCCTGGTAAGCAAAACAGAGCAACTTCTTTTATGCTATCTTTTCTGCTTTCGATTAATGCTTGAGTTACTCAATTCTTGTAGTTTATTGGTCAAAGAAAATATATTCAAGAAGAATTCAGAGTTCCAAAGAAGGAACCTGGAAAATCTCCAGGCTCATAAAAGGGTGCTCCCCTTAAATTCAATACTAACTCTGCCTTTGCCTGGGACAGTAATATTCTAATCTTGGCATCTTGTAGGCTATCTCTTTTCTTGTCAGAAAATTGGCATCTAGTTCCTGGTAACAATGACACAAGTAATGCCAGCACATAAGTGAAAGGAAAATATTCACTTCCTAATACTTCCTCACTCTGGAAGTTTCCATTAAAATATTGCCAGGGAGTGGTAGCCAGTTATAGTTGGGTTTCTAGACAGAGTGTGAAGACTTGAGAGATGACTCCACTTCTCAAAATGTACCTTGTACAATGTGGAGTAACTCTTCAAGAAGGCATGAGGGGCTCTAACTGTGTGTATGTGTGAAGCATAATACATTACAATTGATAACTAAACACAAGTCAGATAATATATTGCAAACAAGAGAGATAACAAAGGTCAATCTTACAACTATGCTCTTCTTCTGCCTTCTCGTCACCTTCGTGGTAGGCAGCCTCCTCTTCAGCTGTGAGACTAAGTCATTGATGATGGTTTTGTTGTTTCCTGTGTTTGCTGACTTGAGTTTGGCCTTCTGAAAACAGGCAAAAGCTGAGCGTTCACAATGCTCCTGAAGGAGAGATAATTAGCATATGTTAATAGCCTGATGGATAATTCATATATATTAATGTTCTGAAAGAGAATTCGCATGTGTTAATACCCTGAAAGAGAGATGGTTATCATATGTTAATGAATGTCATTCCAAAGGTTAAAAATGGCCTCAGTTTCTATTTGTACTATCTTAGACATTTGTTTTAGTGACAGCCTTAGGTCTGGTCATATCTCCATTTAAACTCTGCAGAAGGCAGAAGTTCCGCTCAGACAGCTTCCATGTCTGGGAGAAGGAGCCCCTTTCTGCAGGAGCTTTGTGGGGTTGGATGCGAGTGTGTGTGTGTGTGTGTGTGTGTGTGTGTGTGTGTGTGTGTGTGTGTGTCTGTTTGTGTATGTGTGTGGGGGGAGTGAGAATCCACGAATCCACGATCACATATATACTAGGCAAGCAGTCTACCACTGAGCTAACAGACCAGACTTTCTAGCTGTGACAGAGAATTTAGTTTAAGAGCACTGTTGTTGAATTCTGAGGCTGTAAATTGTGGCCAGTGGCAACTTTGGGAAAGTGATCCAGCAGTCTGGCTAAGAAGCTGTTTCACCTATTGTCACTTCTGCCCACTGTGCACACACGAGTCTTCATGAGTAATGTGCCTGGAGCAGGGTTCTAGTCTGCACAGTGCTTGCTACAGGCCTGGTCATCAGCAAGTGGAGTCCATCAGTGAGGTGAGTGACTGAAGATCACTACAATTGCTCATTCTGAGAGTCGTTGTACACTTTGTGAAGCCTCAGCCACATCATGTCTGGGTAAAGCAGGGTTCCCCGCGAATCAAGAGTCAAGACGCAGAAGGTAAGACTTGCTTGCCTGTAGAAGAAGGACCTCTTTGGCAGAGCTGTGTCACAGAGACTGGAGAAGTAGAAAGAATGAGGAGCAAAGCTCTTTCCTTTGGCCAAATAACTACTGGGCAGTGAAGAAGTCCAAACTTAGCAATGGAATGCACTGGAAGGGCGCACCAGGCAAGTGCTTCCTCACTGAGTTAAAGCCTTGGCTCTGGAAGAACAATGTCTGAAACTGGCTTAACTGATCCAAGAGCTCCTATCTGAATTGCTTTCGCCCACATTGCTGTTTCCTTTAGCAAATGTCTGTGTAGTGTTATTCTCCCCCTGAAGTTACCTCAACTTCATTTCGCCACTAGCTTCCAACCAAAGGCCTCCCTCCTTCCCAGCGATGTTGCATTGCCTGAAGCTTCTCAGGGACAATCAGCTGAAAAAGCAGCCTGCTTTGCATTTTCCAACTCGTACGCTTGCCCGATGTTAATGTTGACTAATAACACAAGCCATCGGCCTTGCTTTGCATAGGTAGCCGCAAGCCCAGCAGGCCTTATCTAGTTCCTTCTATCAGGGTAGCTTGCCTGTCACCAGGGCAAGGTGCTGGCCTTCCCATGTTTGCCAAAATGCTTATTTAATAGAAACTATTTATAAATGTTAATTATAGCACTTTTTTTTCCTTGAAAACCACATGTTCATGTTTGTTGAAGTTTTTTTCTTTTCTCTTCTCTTTGACCACAACCGGCTTAACTTACTGGAAAAAAATAATATTCATATTTAAAGAGGTAAATTTTCCAGCTGAAACTGAAAACGCTAACTGTTTCATCCGTGATGATCTGAGAAACCAGCATTTCTCACAGAGCTTCATTTTGCTGAGTTGACATTTTCATTTGTACACTGAAAGAAAATTAGGTTCCAAAGAAGCTTGGGGAGGGGTCCCAAGAGCAAACTGCCTGAGACTCTCCTGCCAGGAACGCTCAGGACCAGCCATCAAAGCTTTACCCCCAGACTAGAAGACAGATATGACATCTGCACGGGGAAGTGTCACTGTCTCCACCCTTCCCTGCCCACCACTGACGGACACTGCCCTTGGTTTGGCTTTGTCCTGCAGGAAGCAGCCTGTGTCTGGAAACGAGGATGAGGGACAAGGATCTTCAGGTTGGGTTGGGGTTCAGTGCACAGCAAAGAGCAGTGAGGCATCAGGCCCGCGACTCCCGAGGAGCGGAGTTGAGGGGGACCTGGAGGGAATGAAGAGCCTCAGGGCTCCCAGGCTCGAGTAAGAGCACAGCCAAGCCAAGTCCTGGCTGCTTTCCTCAGCTGGGCCTCACTGGGGAATGTGAGGAATTTTCTGGAAGTTTGTGACTTCTGCATGGAAGGTACAGTAAAGAAGCCAAAGAAAGGTGTTACAAAGCCAGCCCCCTCTTTAGCCAGAAAAGAGATGTTCATAAAAGGCACACCTGGCTTGTTAGCTCTGCAACTGGATATCTGAAAAACAAGGTTAATTTCTTATTTCTGACCTGGTTATGTCTTTATCTTTTGGAAGGAAAGCCACAGCCTGTCAGCATAGACTATCTCACCAGCTGTGTTAGGTGACTTACCTTTGTCCAGCTCTCCTCACAGATGGGGCTTTCCTAACGCACCATCACTGATGTATTTGGCCTGGGAAACTTTGCTGTCAGAGCCACACATTCTAAAACACTCGCTAGTATCCCCGGTCTCTGAGGACCAGATGCCGGTAGCATTCCCAACTGTGCCAAGCAAAGCTTCCTCACACACTGTCAAGTGCCTGGGAGGGGCAGCAAACCCCTGGGGAGATGAGAACAGGAAAGACAAAGGAGGGGCGCCCATCACAGATCGCAGCCGTTCTGTAGAATTTGTTACAGACCCTGATTTGGATGCTAGCTCTGAAAACTTGATATGCAGCTTCTGTGGCCCTTGCTGCCTTCCTCTGTCTTGAGTTTGCCTGCCAGCATCGTTTGGAGATGTTAGTTAGGAATGCACTCATTGCTTCATAGATAGTGCTGTCTGATCCGATCATCAGAAAGATGCAAGCTCAGTGAGACATATTATCATGGAGATGTGGGATTTTTTTAAAACTCCTTCAGTAGAAGATGAACCACTAGAGACTGGACAGCGGCCAGAGGGATAGGACAGAGGACCAGCGGACAAGATGTATGCACATATACAATCCCAGACATACAATCAGCTTGTACAAATAGTGTGTGTTAGCAGTGGAATGGTGGCAAACATTAAAGTGGCTACTGGGAAATTCAGACTTAAAAAGACATCTTTCACTGAAAAGCATATGTAAGAAACAGTCATTGGGTCGACCCTGCTGAAAATGAGGGATTTTCCTATTTTTTTTTTACTTTGCAAAGTGTAGACTGCAGATAGGAAACCCCGGAAAGAACTCTACCCACAGCAGTCAACACAGTGCGTGAGATGCTGAGAAACGGACACGTTAAGAAATATTTTTGCTTATTGGAAATGTCTTTTCAATGAGTTAAATGTGCTACTTTCATTTTAGCGGCTGCTTATTAGGAAGGACCTAGTAAACACAAGATCATGTTCAAGGCTACAGCAAGAGTGAATTGCAGAGCAGAGCTGAAGCTGTGACTCATTCACTCTGTAAACTTTTACACTGTCATTTACCATAATTCTTTTCTTTGAATGTGTCTGTGTGGTGCCCTAATTACTGGCAACACTTTCCTGGTTTTCCTAAGCCATGCCGTTAAAGGGCTAGCAGAGCGAGCATTTCCCCAGTTTCATTCACAATGTTAAGATACCAAGCAGAAGACCAGATCAAAGAAGCTATTGAAGGGAAATTGGCAGGAGCCCATCTGCCCTGCATGCCAAGCCTCTTCTGCTCAGGACTGGGGTATGAATGGTCCAAGAGTTGGAATGAGCTGTTGCAAATGGCCCCTTGGAAAGACCTCGCCAAAAGCTGAAGACAAGAAGACTCACTGAGGCCAAGGTACATGGGAATTATACTCAGAGACTTTTGGTTTCCACACTCTGCCTCTGTACCTTCCCTATAATCTAATTCTTTCTTTCTTTTTAAAGATTTGTTATTAAAATGCAGATGTCACCTCTTGTCTTAAATAAGGTGACAAAGAAAGTTGCAGAGCTCTCAAGCCCGAGGCTCTCTGAAAACACGATTGTCTGTTTCTAGTTCAGAAACTGATCCAAGCACAGATTTTTATCCTTCTTGGTTTGTCTTAGTAACACTACCTAGGAGTATTCTTAGAGGCTTTAGGGGATAAATATGTATTCTATAAGAATACAATATGACATGTCATTGCTTGGTTTGCTAATAAATCTTTGGACACATAGTCAAAATGGAAATGAATATTTTACCAATTATTAATCCCCAAAGTCATTGAAAAGAAGCATACAACTAAATCATCATTCTAGAGCTTTGTTAGACTTTAAAGTTTACACAAAATACATTTTCAAAGTCAGTTCAGCTGATCTTACCTTTACATCTTGTGGAGCTGGCAGAAGTTCAGGGTCCTAGCCAAAAGAGAATCAGTTCTGAGTTAGTGACAGAAGTCATAGGCTCCTTTCACATCAGTTGAAAAATATTATTTAAACTTCAGTAACAAACATGGCCTTACCAAATCATTCACATAAATTTTCAGCTGTTCAACACTGTCTATAAGATGACGAAGTCTAATCAGGAGGCGATCTGGCCCTTGGGGGCTTGTTTTATGGGCCACTGTCCCCAAGAAGATGACTATCAGACAGATAAGGGTCCTCTCCATGCCACCAGAACTGGGTCTCCAACTACAGATGAGCAGGACCTGGGTCTAGTTTTCACTTCAGCCTGACTGTGGACAGGTTGTCTTTACAGCTACCTATTTATTCATCCTTCAAGGAGAGGCAAAGCCCTCCCATTGCAGCCTGGAAATCTTCGTACAGTGGATGAGTGTGAGTAAGTCGTTTTTCTTTTCCATTGGCTAGGTATACGTGCGTGTGGGGGCAGGGATGGACAGAGTCCACAAAATGTGCCCCATCTGCATCTTAGACAGGAAAAAGAGAGACATGGTGAATTCCAGTCTTCAGCACTCACCAAGAAGTGTATGTGTGGCACACAGGAGGCACCACCAGATTTCAAAGAAGTAAACACAAACACTTTGATCCCTGGCACCTTACCTGGCTTGTCTGACAGTCATAAAGACACTTGCACAATGAGTAAAGAACCGTGCCTTTTATTGTAGGAACTTTTCGTAGGGTAATGACTATACCTCTTGACTGAACCATCCTGTATTCCATTGCAAAAATGGACGAGGTTAATTTTAGGGAAAATTAAGTAATGAGGTAGTTTCCTAACTAACAGTAATATTTTAGATCCTATCAGGTTTTAGGGCATTAAAACAGGTTTTGCCTCCAGTTTTCACCAATGCCTCTTTTTAAGTAGCACTGATGGTGCTTCCTGACATTGATGTAATAATCTGGTTGAAAATATAATAAATGATCTGTTTCAATGAACTCTGTAGACAGCATGCTCTCCATCAAGATATTACTCCGTCTTCATTAAAATGAGGACCCACAAGCTTTTCAGTGTCTATTGCTTGTATTTAATGCATCAATTAAACATGTAAAACAGGGCAAATGCTCCCTTCTTTCCAAGTTAAAAAAAATACCCTCAAACACCAAGAGCAAAAGTATGTCTGTTAGACATTGTCTCCACTGGGTCTAAGCAACGTGCTTCTAATTGCATTTGTGACCAGGTAGAGGTTGATAAAAGGCTCAGAAGTGAGAAGTGATTCTTAGCACTTGCCTCTTCTGTGACCCTTCACCTGTTGGAAGACGTTGACTATAATACTCTAGCTCAACAGATGTTTAAGCTACAGTTAGATATGTCTTACAAATAAACCTCTTGACTATACATTTTGGCTTACTTGTTTGTTCATCTGTTTTGTCACACACTTACAAACTATCCTGTATTCCAGAATGTTATACTGCCAACATAGAGTTCATACTTGATTTACTCTGAAGATTGGACTGTGGAGTTTTTGTCATAGAATATCTATTCAAGCTATGATCTTGTGCAAGAGATGACCATTCTTACAGTATGATGAAGAGGTGCTTCCTATAATCATTGAATTCCACAAAGGAAGTTTCTGCATAAGCTTATTAGCCAATAAGGACTAAGGCTCTCCACAGGTGCATCCATTGCTTTGCCCACATGGTCCTTTCTACATGTTTTCCTGATGCACCTACATGGATGTCCATTCCTGAATACACTATCCATGGTGCTTAAGAGTTCATTTGCAAAAGCAGAGTTCCTGAGTTCAAATCTAGACTCTAACAATGAATTGCCATATGACCAGACATGGTCTGGTAAAGGGACTATAGGAGCCTTAAAGGCTTACAAGGCAAAGGAAAGGGCTAAGTACAACACATGATAAAGTCCCAGGACATTGACTGATCCCCGATGAGTGTGGAAAGGACATAGAGACCCACAGAAAGAAGGGCAAGATCAATGTTAAGTCACACGCATGGCATGGCATGGCTTTAGAGGTGGTAGAGGCATCTGAAGTCATGCTGCCCGTAGGAAAGCACTGTTCTTGATCTCGATGCAAACTCTCCATCACATCCCAAGACCTCCTAGCCCTTGCTTCAAGCTGCCCATCAAGAGCAAGTCTCAAGTGCCCTGCCTTACATCCCGATCTGAGACCTTCCCGTGGGAATCCCTGCAGAAAGTTCTGCAGCGCAGAACATGTTGGCACCATGGGACTCATGGGATGGAAGGCAAAGGGTCAAGATCAAAGTAGATGTGAAGACAAAAATGGAGTCTGATGCGGCACACGGGCCAGAGTCATGGGAGACTGGTGTCCTCGGGGGCTGGGAAAACCAAGGTATAGACCAACTCTAGAGCGGGGATTCTCAACCTATGAATGGCAAGGGGTTACCCAAAACCATCAGAAAACCAAAGTATTTGCATTACAGTTATTAAGTAGCAGCAAAAATAATTTTATGGTTGGGGTCACCACAACATGAGGAACTGGGTTGAATGGCCGCAGCACTAGGACGGCTGAGAACCGCTGGAACGGAGCACTCAGAAGGGATGCGTCCCGCTATGGGTTGACTTTGTGGAATAGAGCACTCAGAAGGGATGCACCCCACTATGCTCCATCAGCTCATTCTGCACTCCTGGCCTTTTGAACTGCAGAATAAGACTTACTTTGGTTTGGTTTTTGTTGTTGTTTTGTTTTTGTTTGACTAGCAATATAGTATTATTTTATTTGCCCCTTTTATTGAAAATAGTTTGTTTTCCTCATATAATATATCCTGATTATGGTTTCCCTTCCCTCTACTCCTCCCAGTGCCTGCCCACATCCTCTCCCATCCAGATCCACCCCATTTCTGTCTCTTATGAGAAAACAAACAGGCAGCTGGGAATTGGTGGTGCCCACCTTTAATCCCGGCACTCAGGAAGCAGAGGCAGGCGGATCTCTGTGAGTTCTAGGCCAGCCTGGTGTACATAGTGAACTCCAGGACAGGCTCCAAAGGAGAAACCCTGTCTTGAAAAACAAAACAAAGCAAAAAAAAAAAAAAAACAAATAAAAGGAAAACAAAGCCAGCAGGCATCTAAGGGATAATAATAGAATAAAATATAAGATAAAACAAAGCTAACGCATTGGGATAGGACAAAACAAGCAAACAGAAGGAAAAGAGCCCCCAAAAGACAATAAACAGATAGACACAGAGCCCCCACTTGTTTGCACACTGAGTAATCACATAAAAACACTAAACTAGAAACCATAATGCATACATAAAGGACCTCTAGGGTAAAAAGAGAGGGAAAAATAATAATGCAATAATGCTATAAATTAAATAAAAGATAAAATTAAAAATAAAGAAAAGCCCCAACACAACATTGTGAGACAAGGAACCTCCAAAGATGCCAGAGTCCATTTCCTGTTGGCAGTCTGCATGCAGCCTACCCTTCAGAGTAGTTTGTTTCCCCAGTGAGAGTTCCTTGGAGAAGACTCAGTTTTCATTTGTAAGTAGTTATCAATTTGACACCGCTTCTGGGTTAGGGATGGGGACATGTGTTCACTTCTCTTTTCATCCCCAGAACCATTCGGTCAAACACATGCTGCCTGTATGCATGCTGCCTGTGCCTCTGAATTCATGTGTGTGTGTCCTGTTAATTTAGGGGGCCCTGTTTCCTTGCTGTGCTCCATCCCCTCTGGCTTTTACATTCTTCCTACCTCCTCTTCTGAGATGTTCCCTGAGCCCTACGGAGAGGATCTGATGGAGACATCCTGTTTATAGCCTGTTCTCAGGCCTCTCATTCTCTGTATACTGTCTGGCTGTAAGTGTCTGCATTTGTTCTGCTGCAGGAAGAAGCTGCTCTGATGGTGGCTGAATAAGGCACTGATCTATGAGTATAGCAGAACACCATTGGGAGTTGTTATATTGTTAGGTGTTTTTCTGTTGTTTGTTCGTTTTCAGAATAGTAGTGTTTTACTCCAGGTACCTGGGCTATCTAGTCTCAGATTCTTGGTCACCCACGCAGTGTCAGGAACGGGTTTCATCTCCTGGGCCTTATGTCAAATCAGACATTGGTTGGTTATCCCCTAAGATTGGTGCCACTATTGCACTAACATATCTTGTAGGCAGGACACCATTGCGGATCAAAGTGTTCATGGCTGGGTTGGTGTTTATGCTTCTCCTTTGGTAGCATGTGGAGTACGTTCCTGTACCAAAGACACTAACACACAGGAGTGAAACTTCTATGTAGGCACCAGATCAACTTCTCCATGTTCAATGAGTTGTGTAGGTGTTGTCTTCTGCAATGGAGCCTTGCTTTCAGTCTGTGAAACTATAGTCTTAGCAAAAGCCTGGATTGTTTGGGGCTTCTCGTGGGACCCTTTTAGCCAACAACTCAAACAGATGAAACCAGTCCCCATACTGGAAGCTTCGTTTAGTGAAAAGAGATACCCAGATGGGGCTCTATCTGTCTCATTATTTGACCATTTCATTTAGATCTCCTTCATCTATGTATATATTTTAGGAAGCATCTACTTTATTGGGTTTTCATACTACCCTTCAAATGGCCCTTAATTTCAGCTGTCTCTCCCCATATTCCCTCCCTCACTCCTTTTTCCTGTCCCTCCCCACTTGACCTTCCCATTCCAGACACCTTGCATCCATTCATAGGCATCTATTCTATTTTTCTTCCTAGGGAAAGCTGTATGACCTCCCCTAGTCCCTTACTCTATACCTAATGCTGTTCTACAGATTGTAACTTAGTTATCATTGACTTAATGGTTAAATCCATATGTAAGGGAATACAATACATACCACATTTGTCTTTCTGGATCTGGGTTACCTCATTCAGGATCATTTCTTTTCTAGTTCCATCTGTTTACTTGCAAATTTTATGATTTTGTTCCTTTTAACATTCCATTGTATGAACATAACACATTTTCTTTATCAATTAATCTGCTAACAGACATCTAGGTTGTTTCCAGTTTCTGGCTATTCTGAATAGAGCAGTATTGAACATGGTTGAACAAGCATCTCTGTGGTAGAATGAAGCATCCTTTTGACATATGGCCAAGAGTGATACAGCCAGATCTTGAGGTAGATCAATTCCCATCTTCCTGAGGAACTGTCACACTGATTTCCATAGTGGCTGTATTAATTTGCACACTTACCAGCAATAGGTGAGCAATCTTCTTACTCCATATCCTCACCAGCATGCGCTGTCACTTCTTTTATTGATCATTGCCATTCTGATAAGTGTAAGTTTGATTTCTATGTCCCTGATGACAAAGGGTGTTGAACATATCTTGAAGTGTTTCTTGGCCATTTGAGTTTCCTCTTTTGAGAATTCAATGTTTATGTCTGTGGCCCATTTTTAATT